CTGCACCTCAGGCATGTGCCCTAGACTGGGAATCAAACCAGCAACCCTTTGGTTCACAGGCTTGGGCTCAATCCACTGAGCCACACCAGCTAGGGCTGCCACTTGCTTTTATGGTGAGAAAGTTTGAGACCTTTCAGAAGATTCTCAAGAGGGTCTGAGACCCCAGAAAGACTTGAGGAAAATTCTAGGAGTGCAGTGTGGAGAGAAAACATTCAGGGAGAGGAAGCTCTTCAGTTCAGAACAAACCTGCCCAGGGCCCGACCAGTGTGGCTCAATGGGTTGGACATCTTTTTGCAAAGCAAAAGGTCTCTGGTTCAATTCCTGGTCAGGACATGTGCCTGAGTTGTGGGTCTGGCCTTGGTCAGGACCCACCAAGAGACGGCCAGTTGTTTCTCTCTCACATCAATGTTTCTCTCCCTTTCTTTTCCCCGCCTTCCCCTCTCTCTAAAAATAAGTAAATAAAATCTTGATTATTTTTTATAAGAACAAACATGCCCAGTCTTAGCACATCATGTGACTTAGAGAACTGTCTTGCCCCTCTGGGCCTCAGTTTCTCCATCTGTACCAGGGAGGGGTCAGACATAACCTTGTACCCCATGCCCCCCACTGTTGTCACATGCGGGCGTGCCACACTAGAATTCTAACAGCCTGATGTTCTGTGCTGTCTTTTGGCGGCTCAGTGGTGGGCAGGTCTGGCGGGGTGGGGAGGGAAGAGAGGGCTGTCTGAGTGCTCTTTCCCCACGCCCGGCGTTCCTTAGAGGCAGGTGGGCTGAGGAGGAAGGGGTGCATGTCCAGTTGGTTCCCTCTTGAGGAGATAAGCAATGGCAAATATATTACCTCTGGCCACCGGAAATTAGTCTCCTGCCTGTGTGTTGCTTCAGCCTCAGCAGAACCCAGGTGGTCTCCGGAGGGTGGGGCCAAGGGAAATGCCAGCTCTGGGGGCCGCCTCCCGCTACAAACCAGTTTCTGGTCTCAGCTCTCCAGGGCCTGTGGAATAACAATTATCGTTCAGTGATGTAAAAATGATAGCAACAAGGATTTTCCTGTCCGTGATGTGACTAGTATAAAAGTGCGTCCCTTGCCCTTTATAAGAAGGGGGAACTAAAACTCCTGAAAAAAAAAACAGTAATTCCCTCAGTGTTAGAAAAGGAAGGAGAGACAGAGCAAGAGAGAGGGGAGGAGACTGAGGGTCCAAGGGCCTGGGGACAGGTGTTTTGGGTGACTTGGTCCAGGTGGTGGGGAGGGGTTCTGACTTGAAGGGAGGAGTTGCACTATTATGGACCGAAGCAGGCTCCTTCCATCCCATCTGCACAGGATCCAGGAGCCTCTATCTGCGGGTCTCAGCACGGCAGCTGAGGACCCCGCAGAGGGTAGGACTTACCTAGCGGGACTCAGTCCTGGCCTTTCAGAGTCAACTCAGTATGGGGCAGAGCCTGCCCTTTTCACTGTCCACACACAGCCCCCCCCTTATTCTGGGTTCGCCAGGGACTTATTTGAGCCTGAAGTGGGGGCTGGAGCCACCTGAGGAGGAGATGGAGCCTGCGTTGGGGGATGGGCTGACCACTGCGTGTTCCTTCAGTCCAGTCATTTATTGAGCATCTACTGTATACGGGGGATGCTACAGCAGTCAACACGAGGTCCCTGCTCTCCTGGAACTTACAGTCTAGACAGACAAAAACAAGATACAAGGAGATGTGAGGAAAGAGCCCTGGGGCAGTGGGGTGGGCGGGACTCTGGGTAGAAAGGACGTCCCTGAGGAAAGGAAGTGAAAGAGGTGGGGAAGCTAGTTCTTTTTTTTTTTTTTTTTTTTTTTTTAAATCCTCACCTGAGGACTGGCCCCTTGATTTTAGAGAGACGGAGGGGAAGGGAAGGAGAAAAGGAGGAAAAGAAACATTGATTCCTTTCAGTTGCCTCTCAAAATGTTCACAGATACCTGGCCCAGGACCAAACTTGCAACCTGGGCTTGTGGCCCGACCAGGACTTGAACCCGTGACCTTTTGGTTATGGGACGATGCTCCAACCAACTGAACCGCACTGGCCAGGGCAAGAAAGCTAGTACTAACAAGATCTGAATGAAGAGCAGTCCAGGTGGGTGGTACAGTAAGAGCACAAGTTCTGAGGCTAGAAAGGTCACTGGCAGAAATTCCGGCAGCACCTTGTCACCTGGGGCAAGGAGTTGGGATTTTACCTCCAGTCTATTGGGAAACCATTGGAAGGTTCCAGTCGGAGAAATAACAGAGCTGACATCCATGTTGGAAAGGCCTTTCTGGCTGCAGTGTGGAAGTGAGGCAGAGGACGTCAGTAGCTACTGCAAGCGTCCCAGCAAGTGAGCCGCCTGGTGGCGCAAAGCAGGCAGTGGCAAGGGTTTTAGAGACCGGAATGGGTTCAGGGTTTATTATGGAGGAGGCAGAGCCAGGGGGGTTTCCCATGGAAGGATGCTCAGGCATCTGGGAGGTTTCCTATGTGACTTTGGTCTTATTGGTTTCTCTCTCTGGGCCTCAGTTTCCTCATCTGACCAAGTGGCTCAACCAGTGGTTTTCTTTTCTTTCTTTCTTTCTTTTTTTAAAAAAAGATTTTATTTGTTTATTTTTAGAGAGGGAAAAGGAGGGAAAGAGGGAAAGAAATATCAATGTGTGGTTGTCTCTTACAAGACCTCCACTGGGGACCTGGCCTGCAACCCAGGCATGTGCCCTAAACTGGGAATCGAACCAGTGACCCTTTGGTTCACAGGCCAGCACTCAATCGACTGAGCCACACCAGCAAAGGCTCAACCAGTGGTTTTCAAAGTGTGACTTTTAGGGGTTCTTCAGAAGTTCAGAGATACCCTGCACCATCTGCCACCTTCTTTTCTTTTTCTTTTTTTCAATCCTCATGTAAGGATATTTTTATTGATTTTTAGAGAAAGAGGAAGCAAGGGGGCGAGAGAAAGGAACATCTATCAGTTGCCTTCTGTACGTGCCCTGATCAGGGATCAAACCCACAACCTAGGTATGTGCCCTGACTGGGGATCAAACCCGAATCCTTTTGGTATATGGGGTGATGCTCCAACCAACTGAGCCACCTGGCCAGGGCCCCTGCCACCTTATTTCATCTAGAGCACAGAGCAGCTTTCGCTTTTCATTGTCTTAGATGGGGTTTCCAGTTAAGATCTTACTTTGTTTCTCAAGTCCATAAAATCAAACCTGTGCAAACCTCTGGATGGAGCAGCTTCTGAAGATGCCTCTGAATGAGGCTTCGCTCCTCTTCTTTCTGGGGCTGACCATAGTGAGGGTCTTGGCCCGTGACTGTCCTTTGCCCTGTGCTTGCAGGCCTTCCCAGGACCACGGAGGGGATGGGCCCAAGGTTCATACTCGGGAAAAGTCAGAAGGGAGGCAATGAGGGTGTGGTCCCTGGGGAAGGGACTGCCGGCGCTGGCCTTGCTCCCTGGCCTGGATCGAACCCGGCAGCCCCCTCTCATCCCTTCCCCCCAGCCCTCTGCAGCAGTGGTTCCCAGCCCTGCTGTCTGCCCAGGCCTGTTTCTGTCCAGTTATTTTTGAGTGGAAACTGAGGCACAGGCTGGAGCAAAAGGGACGAAAGCCGAGGTTTCCCCTCTCCCGTCCTCAGAACCTTGGACAGGTCTCTGAACGGCTCTGTGCCTCAGTTTGTCAAACGGGGAATAAACAGTGCTTTCCTGATGGGGTTCTGGACACTTCGATGGATTAATACCCATAAAAGTGCTTAGGGTGGGGTTTGCCATGTAGTAGGATTCATAAGCTCTAGCTGTTACCATCATCATCATCAAAACGGGGTACCCTGGGTTAGGAGGGGGAGACTGGTCCCGGGTCCAGTTCCGGTTCTTGTTCAGTCACTGCCTTGCTATGTGTCCTTGATGGGGAGTGACTCAGCCTCCTGGGCCCCTCCTCCTTGCCCATAAAACAACAGCGTGAACCTAGCCCAGCATTTCCCAGAGCACGGTACGATTCTTGTGCCAGTTCCATGTGGTTTCTGGAAGAAAGTTCTAAAATCTAAATTGAGTCATTATTTTAACATCTATTAGGGAAAACTATATCCGTCACTTCAAATGTGTGTTCTCAGAGGTCTGTTGTCTAGAATGGGGCTCAGTTAGGCATTATCTGGGTGTCCTCCCTCTGCAGCCTATAGGAATCGGGGCGAGGAGCGCGGAAGACGCGGGAAGAGCACAATGCCCTGACCCCTCACTGAGTCCTCTCTCCCCATAGGAACTGCAGAGTCAGCTGCTCCGAACTGTGAGGTGGGGCCACGTCATCTCAACTGGCCAGCCCCAGGGGGAGGACCACGGCCGAGCCCTCTCCTGTCCCCTTCAAATTGCCCCCTCCATCAAGAACCTTCCTCTGATCTAGCCCTTACTCACCTCCTTCCTGTTTCTTGAAAACCCTTTCCACAACCCCCAGACTGAGCCCTTTCTCCCTTCCATCGCCTCCTTTTCCATCACCTTCCCTTCCGGGGTTACCGTCCTTATTTCCTCATTTCTTACTGGGGGCCCAGGAAATACTGTCCTGTCTCTCAACACCATCCCGAATATTTCCTGTGTCTTCTAGTGCATCCCACCCACCATCCCTTCAGCGGAGCCGCTCTCCCTCCCGTCATCCTGGACAGATATTTCCCTCTCACAGCTGCCCACGGATGCATAAACACTCCCCTCCACCAGGAGTTGCGTGACCCTGCTGCTCTCTCATTTACACTCTGACCAGGTCTATAAACACGTCCTTGACGAACCTCTTTGTTCATCCCGCCATTCTCCAAACCTCCCTCCTGTGCTAGTTGTATCCTTCCTCCGACTTCTCCCTCTCAGGCTCCACCCCTTCCTGTCCAACCTGGTTCACGATTCAGGGTCAACCTCATCTCTTCCCCCAGACCTGCCTCCCACCATGTTCCCCTGAGCCTCCAAGGAGGGGGCTCAGGGGCCCCCATGGCCTCCCGCCCCCGGTGGCCCCACAGCCCCCGTGGGCCATGGGAAGCACCTGAAAGCCCTAGTGCTGAGAATGGGCAACCGCACATGGGAGGGCTGTCACGTGGACTCACGCATGGACCATCTCTTCCCGCCTTCCCTCTACATCTTCGTCATCGGCGTGGGGCTGCCCACCAACTGCCTGGCTCTGTGGGCTGCCTACCGCCAGGTGCGACAGCGCAACGAGCTGGGCGTGTACCTGATGAACCTCAGCATCGCCGACCTGTTGTACATCTGCACGCTCCCGCTGTGGGTCGACTACTTCCTGCACCACGACAATTGGATCCACGGCCCTGGCTCCTGCAAGCTCTTCGGGTTCATCTTCTATACCAACATCTATATCAGCATCGCCTTCCTCTGCTGCATCTCAGTGGATCGCTACCTGGCCGTGGCCCACCCACTGCGGTTCACGCGCCTGCGCCGGGTGAAGACCGCCGTGGCCGTGAGCTCCGTGGTCTGGGCCACGGAGCTGGGCGCCAACTCGGCGCCCCTGTTCCATGACGAGCTCTTCCGCGATCGCTACAACCATACGTTCTGCTTCGAGAAGTTCCCCATGGAGGGCTGGGTGGCCTGGATGAATCTCTACCGGGTCTTTGTGGGCTTCCTGTTTCCGTGGGCCCTCATGCTGCTGTCCTACCGTGGGATCCTGCGGGCTGTGCGGAGCAGTGTGTCCACGGAGCGCCAGGAGAAGGCCAAGATCAAGCGGCTGGCCCTCAGCCTCATTGCCATTGTGCTGGTCTGCTTTGCGCCCTACCACGTGCTCCTGCTTTCCCGCAGCGCCGTCTACCTGGGCCGCCCCTGGGACTGCGGCTTCGAGGAGCGTGTGTTCTCAGCATACCACAGCTCGCTGGCTTTCACCAGTCTCAACTGTGTGGCTGACCCCATCCTCTACTGCCTCGTCAACGAGGGCGCCCGCAGTGACGTGGCCAAGGCCCTGCACAATCTGCTCCACTTCCTGGCCAGTGACAAGCCCCAGGAGATGGCCAATGCCTCGATCACCCTGGAGACCCCACTCACCTCCAAGAGGAGCAGCATGGCCAAGGCCATGGCCGCCGGCTGGGTGGCAGCTCCGCCCGCCCAGGAGGACCAGGTGCAGCTGAAGATGCTGCCTCCGGCACAGTGAACCTCAGATGGAGCAGAGCCTTCCCCCTCCCCCCTTAAAATCTCATCTCACAGTCCCTACCCTCTTGGTCTGGTATATACCAATCGTATGTAAATAAGGCTGTGTTGCTCTTGATAAGAATATAAAAAAATAGGAAAACAGCAAGGCCCTTGTGTCACTGATCAACTGTCACCCTCCACCATGACCCCCTAAACATTCCGTGGAACTGTGCCTAGCCCTGTATGAGCAGTGTTAGTGACATGGTGGTAACGAATAACAGACCCGGCCCTTCCCTCATGGGCTCCCACTCCAATGGGGAAGACAGATCTGTCCCTGGACGGTGATGGCCCAGAGTGGGCAGGGCTCAGACGGGAGGGACAGGGTCTGGGGAACTCAAAAAGGCATCTGACCCAGTCTGGGGGACAGGGAGAGCTTCCAGGAGGAGGGGACAGTAAACTAAATTTCCAGAAGGTAAAGCCAGAAAGGGAGAAAAGTTAGGATTATTTCCGGCAAGAGGAAAAAGGACAGTGACTCAAAGGGAAGGTAGAAGGAGAAATTCACTGAGTGTGGTGTGATCACTTTTGCTCTTGGGAACCCCTCGTCCTATAGGGGAGAGCAAGCAGGGCAGAACGATTCTGAGTTTTTAGATAAACAATGTTCTCCAAGTCAGGTCTGAGGAAGAAGAGGGAGAATGTCCAAACCCAAGTGAAGCGCAACCAGGGCAGGTGGGCTGGGGGAGGGGTGAGCAGGGCAGGCTGGGCAAGGGGCTCGGGACAAGATTCAGTCAACAGATCTATCTATCTGTATCGACAACGTGCCCTGTGCCGGCCAGAGCTGGGGACACAGCAGGGAATAAGACAGCTCGGGCGCCGCCCTCATGGGGCTCACAGTAAAAAAGTAAACCAAAATAATATTTGGAATTGATAAGCATATTGGGTAAAAATAAAGCCAAATGAAGGGACAGTGGGTGACATGGATTCTGATCTCGATGAAGTCGGGGTGGACTCACTTAGAAGTGGCTTTTGAGCAAAGACCTGAAGGAGCTGAGAAGATCAGCCCAGTGATTGCCAGGGGGAAGGGCATTGCTGGCAGAGGGAACAGCAAGTGCAAAGCCCCAGAAGGAGAGAGTGCCTGAATTCTGAGGCACAGTAAAGACAATCGTGTGACTGGAGCAGACGAAGAGTGGAGGTGACAAGAGTGGGAGGTGAGACTGACCAGGGGACACAGGCCCATCTTTCAGGGCTTTTAAAGTCCTGGTGAGGAGTTGGCTTTTTACTCTGAGATAAACGGGAGCCACAAGAGGAGGGATGTGATTTGACTTCAGTGTTAACAGGATCCTGCTGGCTGTGGAGCGGGGAAGAGAATAGGGGATGTTAGGGCAGAAGCCGGAAGCCCCAGGAAGCGGTGACTGCAGGAGTCCAGCTGGGAGGTGCTGGAAGCTGGACGCAGGGGTGCGGTGGAGTGAGCAAGGAGCCGTGGTGAGTTTGGGGATTTATTCTGGAGGAATACAATGATGGAAGAAGCACAAGGGCCTGTGGGATTGTATAGCATGAGCTTCTTGCCCATCCTGCGAAAAGGGTAACTGAGAGCCTGAGCTGGAAGAACCTCTGGGAATGATCTCAGGCCCTATCCCAGGGCGGTCACTGGAGAGGCCAAGCGACTAGACCAGGGTCACCCAGCCAGTGAGTCAGCCTGGGGCCAGCCTAAGCTACCCCTCCCTTCCCCGTCTCTGCATCTTTCCCACGCCCCACGGTGGCCAAAGCTGTCCACTGTGGTTGGTGTCTCCCTCCCTCCCCTGGCCCTCTGAGGTCACCAGGAAGGGTCCTTTTCCTATAACCAGGCTGGAGAACAGGAAGAAGCACCCAGCTCTGGAGAGGCCGCACCCCTTCCGGTAGATCACTTTCCTAGGCTGTGTAACAGGCTTCATCAAGCTCCTGATGAGATGCGATGATCCCCCACCCCCTACATACACACCGAGAAGTTCCCAGAAGAGGTCCCTGGAAATCCTTCTCAGAGAAAGGAAGAGGAAGGAGGAGGGGAATGAGAAAAAAAATGCAGAAAATGATTTTGCAGAAGGAGGGTTACTGAGATGCAGGAAGTTGGGGCTTTGGTGTTGGGGGGAGAGGTTGGAGGGGGGCCTGCGATCTGGGGGCCCTAGTAATTTTCCCATCCTGTCTCACTGCCATAAAGCTACTGGGATGGAGATGTAGGGGGCCAGATATTTTGAGCACAGTCTCCTCAGAGAATCAGAAAGCCTGCACATTGCCCCTCCACCAAATACTTATTCCTATTCATTCAGTAAATACTGAGCACCTACAATGCACCAGGCACTGTTCTGGGAGCTGAGGAAACAGCAGTGAATTATACAGAAAAAAGTCATGCACATGTTTGGAAGTTCCCTAAACCCATCATGGGAGACCTTAGCCCCTACCCCCACCATAGGTTCTTGGGTCCCAGGCTAACACCCCTATGAGGAGAAGACTTGGGGATGGGACTCAAGAAATCCCAACTTCAGCTTCATCTCAATGACCCTCGAGACATTGAATAAATCGTTTTCATTCTCTGGCCTCAGGTGGCCAGTCTGTAAAATGGGGAGGAGATTGGTCTTAAGTGGTTATGGACATTGAATGGGTCCCAAAGTTTCTCACACTTTGAGTCCAGAAAGGATCCTGGGGAGGAATTGTTTTTATGGTCTTGTCATTCTTTATTTTCTTTTAAAGATTTTATTTACTTATTTTTAGAGAGAGAGGGAAATGGAGGGAGAGAAACATGGATGTGTGAGAAATACATCGATTGGTTGCCTCTCACGTGCCCCCAACTGGGGACCTGGATTGCAACCCAAGCATGTGCCCTGACTGGGAATCGAACGAGAGACCTTTTCATCTGCAGGCTGGCATTCAATACACTGAGCCACACCAGCCAGGGCTGGTCTTGTCATTCTTAATACATAATTTAGAATATCTGGATTCACACATGCCAGTGCCATCCCTATTACAGATGAAGAAACAGATCTACTGGGGCCTGAGACTTGACAGAAGATGACCAGGGAGTCAGAGTAGATACCAGGAAAAGCCCAGGGTCTCCTGACTCCGCATCCTGAAAGTCTGTTTCCTCTTACACATCACTTTTCTGCTCCTCTTTTCCTCTCCCTCTGCCTCTCCTAGAATCTCTCAATTACCCTTCAACATTCCACCATCCAGGAATTTCTCTCAACCCCTTTCTGACCTTGTTTATATGATTTTGTTCCCTGCTGGGTAAGGGACGACAGTCTGGGACATGTCCTTAAACTCCTTCCTGAGCCTGCTCCCCGGGGACCCTTGCCCCTCAGTGGACGCAGTGGGGTTGCTTGAGACCCAGTATGGTTTTATTGGCCAAGATGCTGGACTATCTATCTCTCTTTGGCCGAGGGACCTTGTGCGCGAGTCCTGCCCGTCTCTGGGCATCAGTTTGTCAATTACTTGGTAAAGGGTCGGCTCAGCTACTTCTGGAGAAGAAATGCACCCTCGAGCTAGAGTAAGCAATACTGATGCTAATATTTGTATAGTAATAAGGGCTGTTTACTGAGTGCTGACTGTGTGACTGGCACTGTTCTAAACACTTACCATAGTTACTACGTTTATACATTCAAGATGCGCATGCAAACCTCACAACCCACTAAGTGCTGTTACGATTCATGTTTTGTAGAGAACTCTGATGCCCAGAGAGGTTAAGTCACTTGCCTAATGTCACACAGCAAGTGAATGATAGAACCAGGATCTCAAAGCAGGTCTGTACCACTACAAGCCAGTTTCCCCAGGATGGCTGGGAATGCGGCCCAACACAGAATCATAATTTACTTAAAACATTATGAGATTATTTTGTGATTATGTGTCACAATGTAGTTAATGTGTGGCCCAAGACAACTCTTCTTCCAGTGTGGCGCAGAGTCGCCAACAGGTTGGACTCCCCTAATTCCAGTGAGAGCTCTATCCTGCCGGGGTAGGTCTATTTGGGATTCCTTAGACCTAATTAGGACTGAGAGGCTCACTTGGGCAGAGAAGGCACCTAGGTACGTAACGTCAGGACAGAGGGCGGCAACCCCAGCGGACTGGGGCGTGGGAACCCATTCACGTTCCCGCGAGCAGCCGTTTAACGGCACCTCCATGTGACCGCCTGACTTCCGCCATAGAGCTGCATATTCGAAGGTGCGTCAGCGTAAACGCGGTGATATCAAGCAGCGCCCCTGCAGTTCCCCCCAGTGTACGCACGTACGTAGGTACGTACGTAGGTACGCACGCACGCACGCACGCACGACAAGCGGGCGGGGCAGGCTGGAGAGTTTGGAGGCGCCCCGCCCAGAAAGCCTGGTAGCGCGTCCCCGTGCGACCGCCAAGATGGTGGTCGGTGCGTTCCCTATGGCGAAGCTGCTATACTTGGGCATCCGGCAGGTCAGCAAGCCGCTTGCCAACCGCATTAAGGAGGCCGCCCGCCGAAGCGAGTTCTTCAAGACCTATGTCTGCCTCCCGCCGGCTCAGCGTGAGTCTGACCTCAAGTCCCTCCAACCTTTCCATTCTCCAACCCCTCTCAGGTGGTTGCTCAGGGGGGTCGACTTCTTTTCACGACCAATCACAGCCTGAACCGGCAAAGTCTTGCAGCCAATAGGGAGAGTCTCTGGCATAAGGGCATTGGGTTAGTCCAATTGCAAGGATGGGCGTGGATTAAGGGGTGGGTCAGGGCTCCAGCTCGCGAGTTGAATATACCAGCTATTGGAGGAAGAGAGCGCGTGGAGACTGACGTCTAGACGAGCCAATAGTGTGAGAAGAGAGTAATTTGGGCGGGGTATTCCAGGACTGAGAGGAGCTATGGGGAAGCGGAGGAGGGACTAGACGGGGTCGTTTGCCGGGCCATCCTTAGGCGCCTTGGCTTCCGAAATTGCCCCGTGCTTCAGTTTTCCTCCCTTCCTGGGAGATGAGAGGCGCTATGAGAGGCGCTTGTATATCATCCTTTTAGGAGGCCCCAGTTAATACTCTGGGAAATAGAACTGGGTTAGAAGTGTGGCTCAGGGCGCGGTGTGGGTCTGGGGAAGTGGTTTGGGAATCTGGAACAGGGTAATTTTAATCAGAGTGGACACTCATCCACCTGTTCATCAGTCCATTAATACACTTACCGTGTTTGTCCGTCCACTCATTCAGTAGACAGACTGCTGGCTTTTTGCTGGATACCGGCAGACACACTCATGACCGTCAGTATCAACCCAGAGTGGTCAGGGTGGTGAGGACTAACTATGGAGCTCAAAACGGCCACCTGACCCAGGGACCTGGTGCCAGGAGGGCTGTCTAGAGGAGGGCAGCCCGAGCTGAGATCTAAAGGGCATAATGAACACTTAAAATAAGAGCTACTTTAAAAAGGTGAACTATATGCTCTAGGCCTTGGGAGCACAGAATAAAGAAATTAGTTTATTTTCTCAGGGAACCCCCGTTCATCCATCTATTTATCCGTTACTTCATTTACCGTATTTTGCCGTGTATAATGTGCACCCACGTATTTGTGCGCATTATACCTGGGATTATTATACCCATGGTATGTAATGATTATATCCACATATAATGTGCATCCTTTTTTTTCCCTCAAAAATTTGGCTTCGAAAGGTGCTCATTATACATGGCAAAATAACGGGTAGCTAGTATTTTCTGATAATCATCTCTGTGCCTGGCCTGGTGCTGGGCAGTGTCGGTGAAACAGCAGAGACCAAGCCAGCCCAACCTTTGCCCTCAAGGAGCTCCCAGTACGGTAGGGACAGACCCTTTCTACAAGAGTGATGCCCAGAGTGGGCGAAGCTGGGATGGGATTGCCCACTGGACACCTGACCTGGCTTGGGGTTCAGGGAGGGCTTCAGGGTGAGGAGAACCTCACCAGACAACAGGGACATGGACAATGTCGAGGGAGAGGGAGGAGCATGCGCACAGGGCAGATGGTTAAGAGGAACACACCTTTTTTTCTTTTCTTGAAAGTTTGGGTGCTTTGAGTTTGCTTTCCAGGGCCTACAATCCTTAGCCCATTGACATTTGTTTGATGGGCCCTCTGCCATACCTGCCGATTTTAGACTGACAAAGTGTTGCATTGTTTAGCAAGTGCTTTCATATCAACTCTCTCATTTGACTCACATTATTTTGTCCCCATGTCAGGGAAGGGGAATGGCTTCTCCCAGTTTATAGAAGAGAAATTGGAGGCTCAAGAGTGGAAGTGAATTACTGAGGTCGCACACGAGTTTGCGCCAAAGGCAGGACTTAAATCCTGCATTGTGGATTCCCAGACCAGAGCTGGTTTCTATTTCCTGCCACTGCCTTCCTACCCAAACACTGTGACGTGCCTTAGCATTTTGGTGTGGAAAGTGGCTTCTTGAGTTAGACTGACATGGGTCCCCATCTGGGTCCCACCCCTTCCCAGCCAGGTAGCTCTGGGCAAGTCATTTAACCACTCAGAGCTTCAGGCTCCTCTTCTGTATAGCGGGCAACTTAATGGGCAGTCACCTGTCGTGCCAGGCAGTGTGCTAAGCACTTCACAGGCCTTTTAACATTAAATCCTCACAAATTATTTGGAGATATATTTGTTATTATTATTATTCCCATTTTGTGTACTTTGTATGTATTTCTACTATGAAGGATATGTTATTGTGAGAAGTAAATGGATATGTAATGCAGGTCAGTGGTTCCCACTGAGTTGTGGCTATTGTGTAGATACCATGGACGCAGCAGAGAAGGCGAAAAATCATCAGGAATGCAGAAGGAGGAGTATTCAGGGGCAGGTTGTAAGTCTCGATAGGATTATCAGGGAGACCTCACTGAAAATACAAGAAGGAAAGAAGGGAGCAAGCAGTACAGGTATCTGGGGGAAGAATATTCTACCCCAGAGGCTCTGCCCATGCACAGGCCCTGAGGGGACGAAACCAGTGGTGCCGGGAAAGCCAGGCAGACTGTGCAGGGCCCGTGGGCCACTGCAGGTGCTTTGGCTTTACTCCGAGTGGATGGAACTCACTGGAGGGTCTGAGCACAGGAAGGGCGGGATCTGTGTTTTAATCAGGCCTGTTTGGTGACCATAGGGTGAGGCGGATGCAACTACTGTAGTCCAGGCAGGAGGCCAGTGGGGAGGAGAAGTCCGACTCCGGAGAAATTTTTTCCTCAAGTCTTCCTTTTAATATTTCAATCCTACAGAAAAGTTGGAAGAAAGAATGGTACAGTCATCAGTCACATACCCCTTACCACCTGTTTCATTCATTATTAGCCTTCAGCAAGTTTGCTATGTCTTTGCTCTCATATGGATGTACGTATGTATGTATACACACTTTTTTCCCCCTGAATAATTTGAAAATAAGTTGTGGACCTGGCACTTCACTCCTAAATATTTCAGCCTGTATCCCCTGAGAACAGAGATTCTGTATAACACAGTGCCAATGCCATACCTGAGAATTTTAATACTCATAACAATAATACTGATACCAATATTATTTAATATATAGCTCATATTCTGATTTCTTTAACTGCCCCCAAATGCACCTTTGTACTGCTTGTTATTATTTTTAATCTAGGGCCTGCTTAAGGAACATGCACTGCATTTGCCTATCATGTATCTTTAGTTTCCTTTAATCTATTAATACAACAGGGCTCAGCAATCCAGCCCACTGCCTGTCTTCATAAATAAAGTTTTATTGGAACACAGCCACACATTTTTTTAGCATATTGTCTGTGGCTGCAAAGTTGGGTTTGTATGGCCCACAAATCTAAAATAGCTTGCTCTGTGACCCTGTGCGGAAAATGTTTGCTGACCCTGCGGTGTAACAGCATCCCTGTCCTTTCTTGTTTTTCATGACATTGACATTTGGAAGAGTCTAAGCCAGTTGTCCCATGGAGTGTCCCACAGTCTGGAGTTTTTTGATCATTTCCTCTGATTTGATTTACGAGTGTCTTTGGCAGGAACACCACAGACGCAGTGGTGTGTCCCAAGGACATCACGCCAGGGGGCTACTGATGTCTGTTGCTTCCGTCATTTGTGGCGGTAACTTGGATCCCTTATTTAAGGTGGTGACCACTAAAAGAACCTCTCCTCTTCCCCTTAGCAATGAATAACCAGTAGATTTGTTTGGAAGGTAGAGCTGGCAGGATTTCCTGTGGATTGGGCGTGACATAGCAGGCTGGAGGAGGAGCAGACAGGTTGCACAGAAAGGACCAGGAGTTCAGTCTGGGACAGGTTTCATGGGAGATGTTCTTAGATGTTGGAATGCACGGACTTCAATCTTTAAACCTCTTTTATTATGTTGTTTTTGTCTTCCCATTGCTAATTGCCCATGGCGGTGGCCCTCAGACGATGTGATTAGAATTTCCCAGAGCAAGTAGCAGCTTTGTGTTCTCCAAGGTCACGCCTCCCGAACTGACCAACACGTCCAGCGTCAGGCCTTTGGCGGGGGTTCTTTTGACTCAGCAGGGTAGGCCCGGCTGTCTGTGTTCTCACAGGAGAGGCTGGAGTGGTAGGTGCGTCTGCCTGAGGGAGGAACAGTAAATGCCAGGGCACAGCTCATCGATGATGCCCTATGTTGGGGAGGCAAGGATCTTTTTAAACAAAGATTTCAGGGGGAGAAAAAATAAAAGAGGTTGGCGATGCCAGGCAGGTTGAGGCCTCTCTCGCACAGGGTGCTGCTGACGCGTCCAGGGAGTTGTGGGAGGCCTCTGGGCAGAGGGAAGGTGCCAGCTCACTTCTGCTTATTCCTCCGGAGTGTACTGGTCATTTTTCTAGTTACCGCTCACGGTAGGTAGAATAATTGACAGCCCCCAAAGATGGCCGCATCCTAATCCCTAACCTAGTGAATATGTTACCTTACATGGCAAAAGGGACTTCATGGACGTGACTAAGTCAAGGATTGGGGGGGGATAGGGAGATTATCCTGGGCTGTCCACATGGGCCCATTGTAATCACTAGTGTTCTTGGAACTGAAAGAGAAAAACAGGAAAAGGAAGGATTTGAAGGTGCTGTGCTTGCCTTGAAGGTGGAGGCTGGAAAAGGCAAGGAGATGGGTTCTAACCTTAGAGCCTACGGAAGGGAACTTTCCCTATCGACAGCTTGAGTGTAGCCCGGTGAGACCCATTTTGAACTTCTTATCTCCAGAACTGTAGATAATAAATTTGTGTTGTTTTTAGCCACCACGTTTGTGGTCATTTCTTACAGAAACAACAGGAAACCAATACACCACATTAATTCTCAGGCTGCTGGACTAATTTTTCGGAAGTGCTTAACTTTGTGTGGTCATTCTTAAAAGTGTAGGCCTTGTAGTTGGTTTCAGTTTTTCTGTTGCTCCATAGCAGTCTGCCCCAAAGCTTGGAGTCTGAAAACAGTGACCCTTGTAGTCTCTCTCTCAGCTCTGTGGCCTGACTGGGCCCAGCCGGGCAGTTCTTCTGCTGGTCTTGCTGGGTGGCCTCTCACGGGGGTGTGGTCAGAGGGCAGCCGGGACTGGAGTCGTCAGGAGGTTCGGCTGGCACCCTGAAATG